ACTAGTACTAGTTGTACTAATAAGCATCGTAACCGTAATGGTGGAAATAATAATAGTAGCAGTAGTAGTAGTAGCAGTGGTAGTAGTAGTAATAGTAGCCGTAGTAGCAGTAGTAGTAGCAGTAGTAGTAGTAGAAGTAGTAGTAGTAGTAGTAGTAGTAGTAGTAGTAGTAGTAGTAGTAGTAGTAGTAGTAGTTTGTAGTAGTAGCAGTAGTAGTCGCCGTCACTGTCGCCGTCGTCGTAGTAGTAGTACTGAGAATAAGAGGAGTAGTGGTGGTAGTAAAACTACCAGTTGCAATAATGATCGCAGTAAAAAGAGTTCCATAATAATTGGAATAGTCGAAGTAGAGTGCAATAGTCGTCGTCGTACTAGCAGTGGTAGTAATAGTGACATTAATAGAAGTAGTAGCAGTAGTAGTAGTAGTAGTAGTAGTAGTAGTAGTACCATTAGTATTCGTATCAGTAGTAGTAGTAGTAGTAGTAGTAGTAGCAGCAGTAGTAACAGTAAGAAAAGTAACAAAAGTGGTGGTAGCAGTAGTGGCGGTAGGAGTAGCAATGTCAGCAGGAATAGTCGTAGCAACAACAATAGCAGAAGCAGTAGGCGTCGTAATTTTAGCATTGGCGGCCGTCCTAGCAGTAGTACTGGAAGCCGTCGCAGCAGCCGTGGTCGCCGTAAGAGTAGGACTGCTCGTATTCGGTGTTGGCAGAAGTACAAGGGGGAAGATGAGAGTGAGGATAATGATGGTTATGATGAGGAAAGGAAGGGGGAACGAGAGCAAGAGAAAAAGGAACATGCTGCTCAGTCTCGTACTGGTCCGCGTCATGGCGCAAGTCTTCGTTGGAGATACGGCGGTTGGGAGAACGCCACCTGCGACACAACGCCGCGCTGCGAGGCTCACGTGCCAACCGCGGACGCCCGTAGCCAGGCGCGCGAGAGGAGTCCAGCAACGGGGTCCCGCATTGCTTGCTGGAAAGCCCTCGCGCCCTGAGGGGCTGGGAGTCCCCGCGCGACGTGCCACATTGGTGGCATGTTCGGCTACGTACGCGCTCAGATCTCCAAGCGCGACCATCATTGTCGTTTTGGGCGCCGTCGGCGGACATTCAACAACTACGGATACCTGTCCGCACCTCGGCACACCGTGAGTTGGGCTCGAAGCTATCGCGTCCACGCCTAATCCCCAAACGCAGCCGTCACGCTGCCGAAATCGTTGTGATGTTCCACGGCCCTCCCAAGGACGGCGAAACACAGCGGCGATACTTTGGGACGGCGCAAGTTGCCCCAGTCCCCGCGCAAGCCAGAGGATTTTGTCGGCAACCAACGGCGGCGTTAACAGCGGTGTCCGCGGAAATCCGCCGATCCGGCGTGTGAGTTTCAAGGAGTCTCAGCTACAGCCTCGAGGCTGAGCCTCAGCCTCTGGGGGGGTTGCCGGGGTGGCTCTGCCGGGGAAGGGGGGGTGGGGGGGGGGGGGGTGCGAGTTTCCGGCGGATGCGTTTTTTGACACCCCTCACAAGGATCGTGGCCTCCGAGGGGGTTCCGAACTCGAGTACCACCCCTCCCGCACCAAGAGGCTCCGAGGAGGCCTCCAAGAGGCCCCAAGGGGCGCAGAAGAGGCCCCCAAGAAGCCCCAAGAGGCTCCCAAGAGACCCCCAAGAGGCCCTCTAGTGGCCCCAAGAGGCCCAAGAGGCCCCCAAGAAGCCCCAAGAGGCGCCCAAGAGGCCCCCAGAAGTCCCAGCCAACCACGAGATCCCAACCAGCATCCATGAGGCCTCTGACCCACCACCCACGCACGGTGGCGGGATAGGCCGACGGCCACTGGATAAATGCTGAGTGAGAGGAGGGGAGGGAAAAAGAGAGGAGGGACGAGGGCGAAGAAGGATCACATCAGTCGGAGCGCCCCGGATCGGCGGCACTGGCCGAAGGCCACTACAATATCTATCCAATGTGGCAATCCTGCCAAGATGCACGTGGCCTGGGCGCAGCAAGCTATCAATTCCGCTATCGATACCACTCTCGCTCGCACAATTGATCCCACGATCGATCTCACAGTCGATCTCACTATCCCTCTCTCTATCGATCTCATTATCGATCTCACGATTGATCTCAATCGACCTCACTATCGCCCTCACTATCGATATCACTATCGATCTGACTGTCGATCTCACTATCGATCTCACGATTGATCTCAGTATCGATCTCACTATCGATCTCAACAGCGATCTCACTCTCGATTTAACTATTGATCTCACTATCGGTCTCCCTATCGATCTCATTATCGATCTCACTCTCGACCTCACTATTGATCTCAAAATCCACTTCACGATCGATCCCGCTATCGATCTCACGATCGGTCGCACTACTGATCTCACGGGGCACCGCGGGCCACCACCGGCCACGACGGGACACCGCGGGCCACCATCGGGACACAACGGCAGGACACCGCAGGACACAACGGGATACCACGGGACATCACGGGACACCATCGCAGGACTCGATCACGGGACACCACGGGACACCGCGGGACACGTCGGGTTACCATGGGACACCACGGGGCACCATCGGGACACCAATCGAGACACCGCGGGACACCACGGGACACCACGGCGGGACACCCCTGGCACCCACCCGCAACGCGGCCGGGGGAGGGGGGGCGGACTTCTGGTCTCTCCGCGCCCTGGCCAGAGCAAGGTTCATTCCTCTTGCCCGCCCACGCAGCTTCGCCTCGCCCGCACACGGGACATGAACCTGAAACTGATATCCCGGTGGGGGGCTTTCCGTTCCACTTCGATCATGCCCTTTCTCCGGAGCTGCCACTTGTTGCACTCTTTGCGGCGAGTTGCGCCACGAACCATGCAAGCAAGCAGGGTGACAACGCAAATGAGCGGGCGCAGGAACCAGACAATAAAGGCGAAACGCACCACGTGGTGGACATCGCACAGGAGGGACACTCTGCAAGGTGATCAATCGAACACCACCAATCTGATCGAAGTTCAAGCAAAAGACGCTGCGCCAGCTGGGCAATAATGATCGCTCCGATCATCGATACTTTTCATCATGCCCCGTGCTTGCTCCGAATCGGCAGCTGGGCCCCTCTCGAAAATCATCCTTGCCAGCTGTGCCGACTAGGATTCTCCCAGGTGTCGAACTTAACTTGGGCAACACCAGGGCACTGCTGTCTTACAATGAAAAAGACGACATCTTCGATACTGCAAACATGATCTCGGCAGAATACAGAGCACAATGACCCCCATCATGTAGATATCCAGAAATAGTATTGAACCCAATGGGATTGTATACGTGACTCGAGCTATGCATCCGTACTTCAAACACCATTACATGCTTGACAAAGATGGGGCATGACCACCAATCGCAGTGTGAACATCGTGATGGGCTTGGGATCGTACAGCTATGGACAGCGCAGATCGTACAGCCATGGGCAGCGCAGGATGGGTCCCACGAGCGGTCACCAGTAACCGGAATAATGTTGACCAAATTGGGGCCATCATTAAAACCAGATGCGCCATACCGCCACCGCCGCCACTCTGGTGGATCAGTTTTAGGGTGCGTCCAGAGATGCCCTCGGCAGATCAATGTTGTTTTGCAGGTACCCTTCGTGTATTCCATGTATTCCGCAACTCTCTCTCTCTCTCCACTCTCTCGCGCTCTCTCTCTCTCTCTACGTCTCTCTCTCATCTTGGCCCCACGCTGGCAATTATGACTATGGGCATGTATACCTGGTTGTTGGGCCAATCGAAATATTCCACAAGTTCGCTGCTTGCTCTCCCAAGGAGCGGTTAGGTGCATGGGCTCGCATGTTGCAGGTTTGTTGGTGCGCTGTCCCATACACTCAACCAGGATAGTAAGGATGCGCGGTAAAGATGCAAAAGCCTTGGAACGCCATGTTGACGTCTTCCATACGGAGCGCAGGAGAATGCCGAAGGATGCCGAATACCGAAGGGGCAAGGATGCAAGGTCAGCCTTGGAAAGTTGCCCCATCCTTACTATCATGGTTGACTGTACTGTTTGGCGTAGTGTGGTCGTTCCACCTCTTTCTCCTGTCCTTTTTTCCTCGCCATTTGTAACAGACATTCGTACATCGCCTTCCCCAACCAACCATCTCCCGTTGGAGCCAGGGCGCGCCGCAATGCCATCCGCTGGTTGCATGCTGATGGATCGCATCAAACATGAGGATGGTATATTGTCTTGTGTCTGAACACGACCAGGACAACAACCGCGTGTGCTAACCATGTGCAGCGCCTTGTCAAATGAACCAATCGACCCTCAGCCAGCAAGGAGTCGCAATCGCCTCCGACGAAAAAAACATGGGACGGAGAAGAGAAAGAGCCCCAGATAAAGTGGGGACGCGCGCGAGCCGCACAATACTCTCTTGGGGAGAACACCATGGCACACCGGGTCAATACACGTCCATGCCTGATGTTGAGACGTTGCCAAAGCGGTGGTAATGTGCGACGAGGAGCGCGGCTCGACCTGGGTGAGGCCAGACGAAGGCAAACTGCTATGACGCTCGGAGGGTCGCGGCGATGTCGAGTCGACTGCTGCGCCTCAGGGTCAGATGGACCAGCAGCGATCCCACTCGCGCGCAAGATTGGACCTGCGTCACCAACCGCCTCATGGAGCAGCGGTGATGGTACGCCCGTCTGGTTGTCACTCGGGGTGGAAGTGGTTGCATCGTCGTGGCAGGGATCGAAACAACGAACATGAGGTATACCAACCTTCCCCCTGCTTTGCGGGTGGCAGGGCCGCTTTCACGCGTCAATTCAGAGCATCATGTGGACAACGTCGCCGAGGCTAAGGAAAGGGAGTTCGCGGGCTGGCGCAGAAGGCTGTGCTGGTGGACGCTCAAGAAGAGGACCGTAAAAAAACGGGGAAGTAGGGAGATGAAGAGGGGGTAAAAGGCGGAAAAAAGAGAGACAAGAAGAGGGGGAGCAAGATGAACTCCTCTCCATTCTCCTCCTCCCTCCACGTCCCCTCTCAATAGACGCCTCCTGGATCTGCTCGCGATTCCCCGCTGTGATGTTCGATATCGTCCAACAGCTCTCCTCGACCAGGGCAGCGCCCAAGCGACGCGGGAGGGTAAGAAAATGCGGCATGCGGCGCCAAATCCTTGTCGGGTGAACTAAAAAACCGCCGAGAACACACCTGTGATGATCTTGCACATGTAATATTACCCACTGCTATGATCCCTCAATGGGTTATTATGACCATACTCCGACCGGCCGACCGACCGTACGTCTGACCCCCCCTCGTACAAAGTCCGTACGTACTGAACATTGTCAGAGAGAAGAAAGTTGTACACATTCGTACTGTGTCCGTGCATACCCACACTCAGAGATGACCTTCCCCAAGGCTTCAAAGAAGGTTCAAGGGCCCCCCACAAGTTTCCGAGAGGGTCCCAGAAGCCAAGCCCCTCAAATGAGCCCGGCTGGCCCCAGTGCCAGTCACAGGACAGCTCCACGGCGGCCAAAGACCACCCAACGATGGCCCGAAGACGCTCCAGATGGCTCCTGGACCTTGCAAGCTTGCCCCAACCGTCCCAAAAACCCCACGGCAGCCCCAAACGACCCTGAGAGAACCCGGCTCCCCATCCGCCTCGCCCTCGTCCGCTTCCTGTCTCTCGCCGCTCTCTCGTGCAGAAGTCAGGGCACGCATGCCATGTTTTTTTCCGCCACATTGCGTTTGTTCTGTCCATCGCCCTCTTCTCTCGGCCCCCACAACACGTGCCGCCCTCCCCCATCCTCAGACTCATGCGATCTGACTCCCACGGCCCTCTCCAACCCTCCCTCGTCTGGCTTACATGATGTATCATCCTAGGCACGCGTGCAAGCTACCACCAGGACGCAGGCCCTTTCTGGTCGTAGGAAATTGCCAGCACATGTTCGGCCACGCTCGCGGGACATCCTGTATGCCACTAGGGAGAATGCCATACAACGCGCTTGACCGGAAGGTCCTGCTGGCAGCACGGGGCGGGCAAGACCACAAAATGCCGAAATTTCCTGGGTACACTCCATACCGAAAGCCGGTAAGCTGGTATCCCAGGTCGTCGACGTGACACAAGCGTACAACCAACTGAACATAGTTCGGACTCTGGGTCACCACGTTCACTACGGAACGGAAAAAAAACTCCCGGGCCATGCCTATCCTGAACATCATGCTTCCCCCTTCTTCCTCTCTTCTCCCCCTCCAAATTGTGCTCGTACTCCTCCTCCTCGTCCTCCACGTCCGCTTGCCGCTGCTGATACTCCTGCTGCTGTGGCAACTGTTGCTGCTGCTGGATCTGCTCCTCCTCCTCCTCCACGTCCTTCTGCTCCGCCCCCTTCTCCCCGTCCTTATGCGGCAACTTCTGCTCCTGTTCTCGCTTGTTATCCCCGCCTTCTCCCTCTACACTCCCCATTCCTTCCCCATCTCTGGTCGCCTTCTCCTCCTCCTCCTCAATTTCCTCCACCTCCTCCTTCTTCTCTTCCTCCTGATTCCTCTCCTGGTACTGCTGCTGCTGTTCCTGTTGCCGCTCCTCCTCATCCAGAGCCCCTGAGGGAACTTCGAATCCATCGCCCATCTTGCAGACTCTCGCCGAATTCAGGCTGCTGGCATTCGACTCGTCGGCTGGGCCGCGACTCCTTCCGAATCGCCTTCTTGGCGTGCGTGAGCAAACCCGAAAGCTTTGGCAACGTCCCCGCTTGCAGAACCACCTGCGGGAACGAGGAGGGGAATGGCGGAGGAGGGGTTCGGCCCCCTGTCTCAAAGAAGAGGACCATGAGAAAGGAAGGTTCTAGTAAACTCAGAATACATAATTGATGCCGGAATGCCCCCTGTCCCCAGCCCCCTCTTAGGGGGCCTCCTGGGCCGTCTTGGGCGAGCGCTTTTTTAGACAACAATCGACACGATAACGCCAAAACCATAGAAACACCGAAATTACTTTCATAATCATGCCAACAATTCCTCCGGCCCCCTTGTGGGGCCATCAGGCTGCGCGACTTAGGCTTGCTGCTCCCTGCCCCAGTTCCAGTTTCCAACGTTATAGTCCTATATACTTCCTAGTGTAACTTGTTGCAGTCCGCGCGAGGGGGGGGAACCGAAAACCACCGAGCTTGCGTCCCCGAATCACATTCTCAGAATTCCTGCGGGGCCCAGGGACAAACACACATACTTGAGATTCGCGCTCCCGAGGCTACTATCCCTCGTAAATTACAAAATGCTCGCGCCCCCGAAGCCATAACCCCACATACATTTCGCAATCGTTGCTTCCCCGAGGCCACGATCTCTGGCAAATTGTACAATATTCGCGTCCTCGAGGTCATGAACCATAATAATGAACTCGCCAGCCCAACGGGCCAGAGGCGTGCTAAGATCTCCAGTAACTGGTTCACAGAGTATACACACAAGACTGCAATGGCGCTTCGCGCAATGCACCTTGGTCCTTGAAGTTTGGTATGCAGGCGGAATAGCAGGAAAATCAAGCCGACAATTTAGCGATAACTCCTTGTTGCCTTTTCCGGCATCGCCGTTACGATAATGTTATTCGTTATCCTTCCTCCATGCTTCTTTTTCCTCATTTCCGCCATACCCTGCGCATTCTCCCCATCCTCCTCAGCTCTTTTTTGCGGAGGCTCCTCCTGGGAGAGCCTCTGGAGGCCTCACAAAAGTTGTTTCAGGCTTTCTTAAGGCCTTCTGGAGGCCTCCTGGGCGTATTCTGGGGGCCTCTGGGGGCTTCCTCGAGCCACCCTGCCTCCAACCGCGGTCTCCCTGAACGACCGGGTCACGATTTGGAATGCTTCGGAGGGTGTCTTGGGGCCATCTTGGGCCGCCATGGGGCTCTCTGAGGGCCATCTTGGTCCCGTGTTGTGCCGTTTTTGGGCTTTCTTGGACTGCCTGGAAGCCCTTTCGGACGGTTGTAGGGCGATTTGGGAGCCTCCCAGGCAGCTTCGGACGCCCAGAAGACCGCCGTCTTGGAGCGTCGAAAAGCCGAAAAGAGGAGAACCCCCAAATTCACCAAAAACCAACAGAAAATCCTATCTCTTGGGGCCTTCTTGGGAGTGCTCTTGGAGGCCTCTTTGGGGCCGTCCTGGAGGCCTCCTGGGCCATCTTGAGGTCACGTCGGTCACTCTTGGAGCGCTCTTGTGCTATCTTGGGGGTCTCTGAGACGTCTCCGATGACCCCCCCGATCGCCCTAGGTGTGCTGGGAAGGCTTGGCAAAACGCCCTGTGAGTCCCGGGGGGCCGCTTCGAGGCCCGTCTGGAGGGTCCCAAAGCCCCAGATCCCGGGAGTCCGTTTTTTTTTGGGGGGGTCCCCCCGCCCGGGCTTACAAAAACATAGGAAGAGGAATACATTTATGTATGTATATATATGTGGGTGTGTAATATTCGTGTATATATATATATATACACATATATACCTATATATATATATATATAGGTATATATATGTATATATAGTTCGCGCTCGCGGGGCGGCCCCTGGAGGTTCCCAGACGAAAAAACAGTACCCCGGCCGACTCCTGCCAAGGTCCCAACAAGGTCCGCTCAAGGACACCGGAACTCCCGGGGGCGACTTTCGGCTCGCTCAAGATGGCCCCAGGAGCGCCCCAGGAGACCGTCAAGGGAGCCCCAAGAGGGCACATCTGTCCGCATCTATAAATGGCAGGCCTCACTAAGGCCGAACACAACCCCACGATGCCTCAATATTGTCCCACGATGGTCCCAGACAAGTCTATGTGGGCCTTCAGAGGCCAGTCAACTGGGCCTCCACAAGAAAGGACAAACGTACATTTTTAGCACCCATGCCTTTTCCGTCCAAGACGGTACGACAGGCACCCAAGATCGCCCTAAGAAGACCCAGGAAGTTCCCAAGAGGGCCCCGAGGTGCAACCAAGATGCCCCTCAGAGCCTCCTTGAAAGCCCAAGAGGCCTCTAAAATCGCTCCAATCAGCCCAAGAGGCTCCCAGGACGGCCCCAAGACGGCCCAAGCCCAAGACGACTCAAGAGGCCTCCCCAAAGGGCTCCAGAGGCTCCCATGAGGACTCCGAGAGGGGGGAAACCCGAACAGACATATCGAGCCTTCCCCGAAGGTTGGCCCCCGAGACCGCCAGCAGGCCCCCGAGAAGCCTTCAACAGGCCCCACGAGGCCCAAAACGATCCCCCACAGGGGCCTCCAAGAGGCCCAAGAGGCCCCGGAGAGGCCTGCAAAAAAAACAGAAAAAAAACATCCAAAGAGGCGTCTTGTCCGCGGGCAAATTTGGTCCCCACAGTGCCCCAAGAAACCGTCGTGAGGCCTCTTCCTCCTCCTCTTTCTACCCTCTCGAGCCCCCTATTCTCCTTCTCGCCCGCCATGGGCATACCAGCAGCAATGGTGCAATATGGGCTGGCGGAATGAGCAAAGCGACTGAATTACGCAATGCGCGCGTCACCGAAGCCAGCGTCCCCCGTAGATGATGCAATATTCGCGTCCCCGAGGCCACGGCCCCTCGAAACTACGCAAGATTCACGTCCTCGAATCCAAGATCCTCTTGTAAATTACGCTGCGCTCGTGCCCCCGAGGTTGCGATCCCCAGTAAATTACGCGATTTTCCAACCCCGAAGCCACGATCGTCAGCAAGTTCGTACCGCGAACAATCAGAATTCGATAGATGGTTGTCAACTTTGCTGTGCAAGCCGTATTGGCCCTCGGATGAACTTCCCAGCGGGCACTTCAGTGCCACTTGGGCGGGCGCAAAGACCATGCCGAAGTCGACTATGGTAGACGCGAGGATGAAAGTAGTCATGCTGGTGACGATGGTGACAACGACGGCCAGGCCAGTAACGGCGCCGATGCTCATCACGCCGACGACGATGACGGCGTCTTCGCGTCGGTGATGAAGGTTTTGGCAGGAGTTCGACATGCGCGCGCGGCCGACGCGCGAGAGTGCTCCGCGTGGTATTAGTTGACCAGCATCGTGCCCCCGCAGCACGTGCGCAAGGCCATTCGAATGATTTCGACATGCGGCGCGAGAGGCACGTTTGGCATAATGCAACGAACATGCTGAACGACAAACCGAATGGCTTCCTTAAGAATTTACACATGCGCGAGGCAAGTTTTTGTTTTTGTGTTCTGAAAACTGCGGTTGCAAAATGATGCGTTTTCTCATACGTTTTCTGGATACTCGAGACCTCAAGATTTTGAGAGATTCTGGCATGCGGACGCGGCGAAGCGCCGGCGTGCACTTCGCCCTCGTATTGTTGCAAATGTCGCAAGGGATTATTTGCGGCAACACGCGCGCAAGGGTGCTCTTGCGATTCCGACATGCGCGCGCGGGAAATCCGCTTGGTTGCATGGTATGGAAATGTTGGACAACAGATGCTTTCCGTACGGGTCCGTATGACCCCGAGAGCAAGCTGCTGTTGAACATCCTTGCTGGGAAACCAGATGTGTTTCCATCATGTGTTCGGGGCGCTCGGTGTTCGTCGCGCGCGCACGACGACGCGCGCTCGTGCACTTCGCCCCGTTTTGTTTGCAACGGGTTCGTGAACGCAGAAGATGTTTGATCAACGAGTGCGCGCGCGTAGTGTTTTTGGCTGAGGAGGAGGAGGGGGGCGGGGGGCGATACCAGTCTGGCTGGCATGATACGCGTTCATATTTCGGATGGCCGATGTGGCAAAATCGTATGTAAATTGCAATGCGGGGGGGGCCCGTCATTTCCGGGCGGGGGGTTAAAGTCTATCTCTCTTTTACTCACCCTGCCGAACTTGAAATGGTCAACGCCACTGCTCGCGCAATCATCCCACCCGCCCACCCGCAACTTCGTTGGCAAAACCCACGCGGCGACGATTCCGATGACTGTTTGGCGCTGGCTGGCGCATCGCTGCGGCCGCGGTGGCGCTGACCGCTGGGCGCTTCCCAGCGGGCACCTCATCGGAGTCGGCGACTTGGGCGGGCGCAGTATCGTGGCAACGTCTACAACGGTAGACGCGAGGATAAGAGTAGCGATGCTGGTGACGATGGTGACAACGACGACGGCGCGACCAGTGTCGGCGCCGATGATGATCACGCCGATGACGATGACGGCGTCCTCGCGCCGGCGATGAAGGTTTTGGAAGGAGTTCGACATGCGCGCGCGGCCGACGCGCGAGTGGCACGCTGCGAATTATTTGACACGGATCGCGCCCCCCATCCAGCACGCGTGCCGCGAGGGCGTTCGAATCATGTTGACGTGCGGCGCGAAGGGCCCGTTTGGGATAATTAGACGAACACGTTGAAAGACCAGCGGCGTTCTGAAGAATTCGCATGACCGCGAGCGCAAGCTTTTATGAAAACTAATGTTGCGTAATCATGTGTTGCTATATGTTCTCACAGCGCTCGACTTCGAAGTCTCTACGAAACCTCGCGATCTCGAAAGATTCTGGCATGCGCGCCCAACGCGACGCCCGCGTGCACTTCGCCCCGCTTTTACCAGGGATTCTTGCGACAACGCGCGCGCAAGGGCTTCTTGCGATTCCGACATGTGCGAGCGCGAGAGGCCCGCTCGGTCGCATGTAATGGAAAAGTTGGGAACCCATTGTTTTGCTCGAGAACCCGCCAAAGCCAGAGCGCAAGCCTTTGTTTGAAAACCCTTGTTGGGAAACCAAGTGTTTTTGGGCAGTAGAGATTCGTCACTGTAAATCATACGTCGACTGGCGCGGGGGGAAACGCCCCACCGCCCTCGCATCGCTTGACGGCGAGCGGCTGCATAACCACCCGCCGCGCGCCGCCGCTCCGTCGGGCGGGCCAGGCTCGCGCTCGCGCTTGCCGGCATGCCGCGCGGCCGTGCGCCGGGCCCTCTCTCGCTCGCCCCCTATCCGAGCACGGTCGCAATCTCTCCAATCTGCCGCCTGGCCGCGGAGCAGCGGGGCGGGATCTCAAGAGCCCGGTCACGTCTGCGGCGCCCCAAATGACCATGGTGGCAATCTGGAGTTGGGGCCCGCCCGAGGCGTTGCCCCCAGCTTGCCAAAGCGCGGCTTCGGTAAGCTTCGGCCCACCACTGGGGGGGGCGACGCGCGGCGCATCCGGTCGCCATGGCGCGTCGGACGCGACCGCGGTCGAAGTTCGTTTCTTCTCGGGTTGGCACATCGCGTTGCTCAGGGTCGGTCCATAGTGGCCACTGGCGTTCCCATTTGCTTTCCTCTGCTGTCTTTCTTAAGGGCTCGGTTGCGCCGGTGTTGGTTGCCCGCGCGGGCTCGTCCTTGTCCCTCTGTGTCCTCGGGTCGGCCCAGGGTGGCCCACGGCGACCCTGTTTGTGCCTGTTGCAAGCAAAAATCGAAGGCCCGATAATGGCCTGCAACGGGGGCCTGCTTTGGATTTTTCCACGTTCCTGGAGCAGACAGCAGACTCTTGGGTCGGACCTGCGTGGCCCTGGAGACCCCGCACGTGCCCGTAGCGGCCAAACCTCGGGCTCCTCCGCGGTCCGCAACGGGAGCCCGCTCGGGTTTTCCCCGGCCCCATAGCGGACTTTAGGGTTAGCCCGCGATGGCCTCGGCGCTTTTGATCGCGTCCGCAGCGGCCAGAACCAAGTGCCCGTCCCAGTCTGCGTCCACTGGGGCCCCGAAGGCCGCGGCGCTCTCCCGGAGGGCCGCGTTAGCATCCCCCTAGAAGAGCCTCATTGTCAGAGCTCCAGGCGACCACCGTGCTACGGCGGCGTACCACTTGTGCTCGCATCGCTTGCATCCTCTGCCCGCGGCGGGCGCCTCCCGGGGCCCAGAGTCAGTCGCCGCGCGCGCGGCTGTTTCGCCGCTATTTCGCCAGAGGGGCTCGTCAAGCCGGATTGATCACCCTCCATGGCGGGCGCTGAGCTGCTGGGGCCCCTGACGCAAAACCTCGCGGCGTCTGGTGCGGAGTGGCCAGATGTCGAGTGTAAGGCAGCGGTGGAGTGCCTCGCAAAGAATAACCTGAAGGCGCCAGCACAGCTGGCAAACGTACGCATCGAAGAACTGATGGTTCAGAGAACCTGTCAGCAGCCCTGAAAGGCGTAGCCGGTTCCCCCTGTAATCCCCTGGGGATAATGAACTTCGGGGTCCAGGAAGGATAATAGACGTTTTCTCGGAGATCGCAACATAATGATGAAGATGATGACGATGATGATCAAGATGATCCGTAACGTTTATACGAATCCTGAAGAAATCCATCGGGTTCCTTTAGGACATCCATCTGATTCCTTAGGGAATCCTTGGGATCCCTTCGACAATCTATCGAATTCCTGCGGAAATCAATAGAATGCCTCCGGAAATCCATAGGATTCCTTAGGGAATCAATCGGAATCCTATGGACATCAATCGGGTTCCTTTGGCAAACCATTGGATTCTTTCGGACATCCAAAGGCATCCTCAGGAATTCCGTGCGAAATCATAAAAAAACATCAATAAGATCCCCGAAGAAATACATCGGATTCCTTAGGATGTCCATGGGAATCCTATGGGCAGCTGTTAGAGTTCTCAGGAAACCCATCGGTTTCCTTACGAAATCCATACTCCTTATGCAATCCATACGAACCCTTAGAAAGTCCATCGGAATGCTCACGACATCTATCAGATTCCGTCGGAAATCAATTGATTTCCTCGGGAAATCCACAGGATCCCTCCGGAAACCCGTCGGATCCCGAAGGACCTCCACAAGATTCCGACGGCAATCCATGGGATTTCTGATGAGATTTATGGGCATCCTCAGGACATCCATAGAATTCTTTAGGACCTTCGGAAATCCATTGGATTTCTTTGGAAATCCATCGGACTCCTTAGGAAATCCATAAGATCCCTTTGGAAATCTATAGGAATCCTTAGGAAATTCATAGGATTCCTCAGGGATGGCCCCACAGCCCACGACGGTGTTGTTTTAACATTGCACGGTCCTGCTTTCGGGCTTCGATGTCGAAACATGGGTGGGATTGTGCTCCGGTGAGTGCTTCGCTCAATGTATGAAGGGACCGGTTCTTCCCCAAGCGATCTTCAAGCTGCAGCTTGAGGTAACAATGGACAACCAACAACTTTTTCAATGCCCACGAGCGCACAAGCAACTGTCGAAGATGATACCAAGCTGGCCAGCTGAGGACGCGAAACCGTCGAAACGCAAAACTGTGCAGCATGGGTTTGAGACGTTGAGATCAAGAGCGGCACGATGGAATGTACGCGCATTTTTTAAGAAGAGTCATGCCCAGCAACTGAAACACATAATATGGGTGTGCAGAACACTATCTTTCCACGTGCATTTCTCAAGGCTTCTAAATCCGCCGATCGAAAAAGGCGATCTGCCAGATCCATAAACAGTGGTCTAGGTCTGGGGTGGCAGCTCTGTCGTTCGTGCATTGGCTTTCGGGCCTCCAGTCGACAAGCGCGTTCCACTACTCGCAAAGTAATCACTCGCAAATGGCCTGGATCCGCAGAGGAGATTCTTACGAATCGTTACATCGAGGCGAAGATGTGTTTGTGAGACGTTTGCGAGTAGGCACTTTGCGGATATTGGAACGCGCTCGGTGATCCAGAGACATCCTGACTCGTCCGCTGCCCTTGCGCTGGCTGGGCAATGGCCCGAACGGCTCCGTCAACAAAGCATTGCCGCCACACACTGGCCTCAACCTCCGCGGCCACAGGCTCGCGAGCCAGTCCGGGGCGACCTGTCGATGGGAAGGAGACTGCTGGCGAGCAGCCAGCAAACCAAAGGCCACCATGGACACGGCTGCTCTCCACCGCCTTTCCCGCAGTGTTTGATAATACGTTGACATCCCTGGGGCGTAATCTTTTGGACGATTCTTGTGCGTTGTGACATGCTACGACTGCAGTTTGACCTGCCTCGGTGGACGCCCCTCCATCATCATAACACCGATCTGAATGATACTAAAGAGTACCGCCACCATCAACAGCATCACCATCAGCACGTATCGATAAACACACTTATGTCTTATGTGGATGTGTAGAATCTCCAAACATTGCAAGGACGTGTTCCTAGTCTCGTGTGAATGATAGGCCGTAGACCATGATGTTGTCTTGAGGGGCCCCAGAAGGGGAGGCATACGGCTGGCGGGAGGGCTGAAGGAAAGGGAAACAGTGAGAGAGAAAAAGAGGAGGATGTGGCTGTGAGGTGCAGGGAACAGGTACAGGACCGGTGGGGCGTCCGCCTGAGTCTGGTGGTCGTCGCCTGTGGCGATGTTGCCCACCGCTCGCAAAGCGGGCGTCTGCACGAGGGGCGAGGCATGCTGCAGAAGCTCCACCAGCCGCGGGCACACTCCGGCCTGGCGATTTTCCCCCATCCTCCCTGCCGCCGCTGCTCCTCACACTCCTTCCAGGAGGTGGACCAGCAGCAATTATGAAGGAGGGGAGATGGCGACAAGGAAGGGCTCCCAAGAGCAGTGGCAAGAGCGAGAAGAAGGGGGAGTGGTAAGAGCGACGGGTGTAGAGGGCGGAAAAGAGGGGGGGGGCAAGACGGTGGACCAGACTGGGGAGGATGATGAGCGGTGAGGAGTAACCGCGTCCAAGGAGGGCTGGTCCAGTCCAGGATGCGAAGTAAACGTTGTATCAGCGGCGTGTGCGCATCATTCCACGCCCCTACTGCCACCCGCCAGTCACAGTGATGCTGGCTTTCTGGGAAGCTGGCAAGATAAGTTCAAGCGGAAGTACATTCATTGCAGGCGCATGACCTAAGCCTTCCGCCGACCCGTCGGGCTCCTAGACGCTTGCAATGGAGGCGTCTGTGCTGTCTTTGCCCGAACGACCGCAAACTTAGCACAAATAGCCCTGCACTGAGCCACAGGGGAGCCCAGCTGTTCAAATGCGGGCATGGCAAGCGCCTCGCCCTTATCGAAATCGCCCAACACCTGGGCGAGTGCGACGGTTTCATAACTTTCCTGCAAACATCGCTCGCGTCACTGCTTCTCGTTCCCGTCAACACCCTGGGTTGCAATTTCGGCCAGCCGCTCGCCAGGGTGTGAATGCTTTGGGCGGGGGGGAAGTTCGCACGCCAGAGCTGGGAGACGATCTGCCACCGTGCCCTTGCAGGCTGGGGTGCGTTGGGATCCGCATTAACTGTCAAGCAAAGTTTCTGTTAATTTCGACGGGCGCCCCCACCGTTCGTGTAACCAACTGTAGCAACTCCCGCTGCGTTTTCGTCTCAGGCCGAGGCCATCCGAGGGAGCATGGGGCCTTCAATGTGCGGGTCGCCGCAGCTGAAGATCAGAATGAGGTGGTGCGGGTCGACGGGCGGCACGGGGGTGAGCCATAGTGGCCCGTCGGCGGAAGGCGGCCTTTTCCACTGGCGTTTTCGGTGGAGCTCCCTATGGGGCCACGAAACGTGCGAGGGGTGTGCAGCAATGGGGCGGCACCGACATGCGGACCCTGCCGCTGCGGCCTTCGGTGGCGCCGCCTCAGGCCACGAAGCGTGCGAGGGGTGCGCCAAAATGTGGGGTGGAATCACATGCGGGCGCAGTTTGAAGGGGGCTGTAAGGCCCAGCCAACAGCTTCGCCTCAGGCGAAGCCAAGCTCCCGCTCTGTTGTACCGTAGTAACGATAGTCCCAGTATGAGAGGATATGCCATCTCAAACAATAGGAAGATCCTTTTGGTCTCGATAGCGATTGTGTGAATCGCGGTGAGGCACAGTCAAATTTGGGCGGCCGGCCGCTTGAGCCGACGCGGCCGAGGCTTACCAGATAACGTGCTTCCACGTCGTAGCAGGTTTGCCCCGCGAATACCATAGCCTTTGACGTCGTCATCGGCGTCTCCACTCAGGCGTCGATCTCCTGAGTCGCTATGTAAGTCGACCTCGCCCGTGGGGTTCATCGCCTGGTAGACGATCTTCTTCGGGCAGGCCTGTTACTTTCTGGTGATCGCGTTCAGTCGTCGTACTTGAATGTTGGTCGGTTCTTGGACACGTTGTAGAGATACAACATACACCATTAACCACGCCTGGGTGATCAGTGCGCATGCCAGCGCACCCCTGAGACCGACGAAAATATCTGCCACCATCTTGGGTGCTTGAGCGTCAGCGTCAGCGCCGGTTAGTTCGGGATGTTGCATAGGACGGAGCTGTTTGATATATTCATCTTGATCCAAGTAACATGACCGTCCTCGTCTTTGGTGTATCTCACAGCACAGTTGGTATATGTGTGCTTGTTGAGTTTACACTTACCGAAAGTATATTCAATGCATTTGACATATTTGTCACTGGTGTCCTCAGCACCGGCCATGTTAATGTCATCAACATGCTTGGCCGTGAGCAAATTATTGCTCGTCTCGAAAACCTCGTCGTAGGACGTGGGTCGGAGTCCAAATCCTCTGGTGGTTCTTCTGAGCTTAAGTGAGAAAGCCAGTGGAGCGTCCTTAGTGCCTGTGCCCGGTTTCAAGCACTGCAGGCAGTGCTTTGACTCGTCGTAGTGCTCGAATCCTGGAAGAGCACGGGCCACGGTGGCCGATCCAGGCGGCAAACACAACACACGTTCCTTTTCACCAGTAGCCTCAGCAAGTTCCTGATAGGCCAACCCCTTCAGGAAGGCCATGCTGATGTCGAGGGAAGCAATGACCCACTGCTTCTTGCATGCTGCCGTGCCAGCGAGTAACCTCCGGCTTGAGCGTCTTGCCGTTCCCGGAAATGTTTCTACGTCGAAGGCTTCAAGGCCCATGAAGCCTCGGAGTACCAAGCGTAGTCGGATGGTACGTTCCATCTCGCCCTTCTCGTTCTTCGCGAATTTCCATTTGCGCACGTATCTCGAAGTCATGATGTTCGACGCTTTGGCTATCTCCTGCATATTAAAGCATTTGTTGCCGAACCATGTCTTGAGCTCAGTGAAGCGGGCCTTCGGTACTTTATCGGGATTCGCCTGAATGTCAGCTTTAGCGAGGTCGTCTTCCTTGACGACCACGGCTCGCTCTGCAGCGGCGGTAACGTATACTCGCATAGTGGTCACCCAGTCGGCATCTGATATCACGTGTTGCTGCTCGGACAACACAACTTTCGACATTTCTGTCGTAAAGCATAGTTCAACGTATCGACCATTTTCGTCTGTGTCGAGTCCGTAGCTGTCGTATTCGACCATAGTGCACATGGGGGCGTAATACGTCTCCTCGGTATCGGAGTCGTGAGTGCGCCCCCTCTTCGGCAGGTGCCCCCGCTGTTCATCAGCTACAGTGATCAGCACGCTCTGATCTGGAACCATCTGCGTGGGTATGGTAAAGAGGTCCTCTGGTGGAGTTGCCTCCAACAGTTCCCTTTCCTCTTGTAGTTCTGCGTACCGCACCTCCATAACATGCGGCTCAAGATCAGCTTCTGATCCTTCGTAAATCGTAGAAAGCCGTCCGTCATCATGTGCTGGTTCGGCTTCTGAAGCTTCTCTTGCGGTTCCTTCCGGCGTCGGCGCATCAGCCAATTCTTCAAATTTTGACATGTCCGGATAAAACCTGCTTGAGGTTTAGTGGACTTCAGGCATTGGATGATTCGTGCATGTGCTGATCCAGTTATATCATGTATATTCAGAGCAGTACTTTCTGCTTCGTAATAATGAAATCCTGGATTCACGTCGTTGGCGTAATGAACCAACGTGCAGCTGTCGGCATAAGTAACTGGAGGTAGTTTATGGATACTCTCGGCTAATCTGACCGAAATTACATTCTCAATGCGAAAGAAGTTTCTGATAATATATTGTAGGGCCAACTGTACCTTAGGAGATAGACGGCTTGCAGTCGTCATCTGAAGCGCCCCTTTCTTGGTCGACACATAGCCAAAGGTCGGAGCAGGTCCCCCCGCTGATGGGCCGGCTACAAATGTCAACACTGTGCGTAGTGCAATGTTGTCGGAACCAACTTCTCGGGCTATGAGTGTATCAATTCATCATGAATGCCTTGCATCGCCGTATTGTACTTGAACGTCTCGATTGTCCACTCGGATGATGACCTGACCCCTTCCGGGATCATTCTTTACGACCAGGAACGGGCCATTCCAGCCTCCCCAGTCATCCTTCGTGGTCGTAGGGCGATGGTAGTCGACCAAGTCCCCTTCGTCATAATAGTGCTGACTGGTAATTGTCGTCTTAGTGCGTAAGGCACGATTGGTCTTAGCTACGGCTGTGGCCTGTGTGATAGCTTCAATACATGCCCTGCGTATCGTCTTTTCACGCGACTGATCCGATGTTTCCGTCGGCTGCTCGTGGTCCAGAACAGGGAGGTCAGGGAGCATTGCTGGTTGCCGTCCAAATAGAGCGTTGCATGGAGACACCTCGTTATAGAAGGTGACTGCGTTGGCGGCGAACAAAGCTTCGTGCAGTAGTCGGGTGAACACAAGGGGTATGTCTAACCTATTGGGTTCAGCCTCCATCACGTGAAGTAAATGGCGTTGGATGCCATTTCTGGCCTCGATCGTTGTAGCGTGCTGTCCACGCGCACGTTTTCTAAGTTCAGTGCCTTTTGCCTTGAGGACTGCTTTCGCAGTGTCGTTGTTAAGGGTACCTTCTCCATCAGAGTAAAGTACCTTGGCCAGTCCAAACTGCATCCAGCACTGATGATATGCATCCAGGATAGTGGTCATAGTCTTGTCTGGTACTTCAATCCCAGTAGCATATCGTATACAGCGATCGATAATGTGGAATATATGGTGCTCTTGTTTGTACAACATCAGATCGCATTCCACTTCCTCATTGAAGTTGCAAGGTAATGCAGTAGAGGGCATAACCGTGTGTCCAGGCTTGTCCCAAGCTCTGCATTCTCGGCATATGTCACAAACGCCTTTAACGAGGTTGAGTCTGACATCGTTCAGACCTATGTTGCTTAAGACGGGCATCATCTTAGGCTCCTTCGCATGGAATCAGCGTATGTGTAGCTTTCGCAACTCGCGTGTTACCACGCTGGGGCCAAGGCTTCGCAGGTTATGTAGACTGATTTGCACATCGAACCGTGATCAGTCTGGTAGTCGTGGTCGCGCAGCAGGGTTCCCCGCTGGTGGTGGTGGAAGTGCTTCTCCACCTTGTTGTCGACCACGTCTGACTCTAACCTGTGGTAGTCGGAGATGGCCATCCGAACTACCAGCTCCGATCGAGGCATGTTGCCCTGCAGCAGGCTCAGCAGCATGTCTTCCAACAGTAATGTCGTAACTGCTTGCGCCCGCGGTGGGCCCATCACTCGAGCCGGGCCTCGGTGCTCTCAATCGTGCTGCTGGCGCCTCGGGTGGTGGTGCTGCTACCTCAGCAGCATCTGAAGGTGCAAGTCCTGCTGCCGGTTCGGCGGGAGCCGGCGGTATCTGTCCATGATTTT